TGTGTGTGTGTGTGGCCAGCTCAGCCCACCAGGGGGCGCGGCTGGCTGGCATGTGATGCTGGGGGATCGAACCTCGGTCCCTGTGTTTTGCCAAGCTTGTTCCAAGTAGGTGCTTTAGACCACTGAGCCATCTCTCCAGCCCCGAAAATTTTTTTTTCTTAACATTTATTCAGATTCATGGGAGAAATATTTTCGCTAATTGTCGAATGATTGTAAGTATCAAGGCTCATCAAACTGAAGCGCAGTGCAGCCCACAAGAGATGTTTTCCTTGGATTCTGCTGGTCGTGCACACGTGGGCTCCAATTCGAACCTCACAACTGCACTGAAGGCGACTCCCGCCTTTGAACCAAGAAGCCCGGGCTCCCCAGAGCCGGGAGGAGAGGCCCGCCTCCCGGCTGGGCCAAGCGCTCGGGAGCCAATGCCTTCCGTCCCTGATCTTGAAGCTCCGCCCCCATCAGCCCTGACAGCGGAGGGGCCAACCGCCTGCCCAGCAGGGGCCTTCGGGGCGGGGCGCCGGAGGAAGGGGCGGGGAAAGGCCCTCTCCAGGCTCCGCCCAGGGCCGGTGGGCGGGCCCACTCCGGGCGGGGCCGGGACACGTGGTGCGGAACTGCGCAGCGCCGGCGGTGAGTAAGCGACCTCTCCCGGGTCTTTCTCGCGGGTGTTCTCGGCCGGGTGTGGCTAGTGGAAATTGCCCCGCTTCTCGCGGTTGCTCTGGCTCCCGGCCAGAGTTGTACGGGAACAGCACCCACGCGTGCTGTGAGCCTCGCGAGGCCTCACCCGGTCACCCTGGGAGGGCCTGGGCCAGGGCGCTCCTGCCGGGAGCCCTCCGGTCCCCGGGAGTCCACGGCGCCTGGTCCTGGTGGCGTCGCGGGGATCATTCCTCACTGCCTTCCCCAGAGAGGGTTGCGGAGGACGCAGCCTTTCTCCAGACACACCCTGGGTTCAAAAGGCCCGGGCAGGGTCCAGCCCGCACTCGCACTTCAGGCCACTGGTTGCTTGTAGGAAGGAGGACTTGCAGATTGGCCTGCCTGCCTCCCCTTCATTCCTCAGCCTCAGTATCCTTATCTGTAAATTGGAGTCGATACGTGGCCCCCAGAACTAATGTCCCTGAGACCCTGGACCTCTGTACAGAGGTCACTGTGGTGTTTGAAAGTCACAGTTTGTTTGTGGAGTCATTTTAGCGTAACTAAGGTGTAAGGAGGAGGAATTATAGTGCAGCCTGCCTGATACCCAGTGGTGGCCTTGTTTGCAGGGAGGAGTGGCAAAGATAATTTCCTGGTATGTGTAAGATGAAGTTTTACAGAATGGCAAATAGGGATTCTCTCCCATCCCTAGTGGCTTTCGCTTAGATTTGGAGCCATAATTCATTTGTTTATTTAATATGTACTTTAAACTGTCAAGGGACCAAGTCGGAGATCCTAAGAACTGAAAGAATCATTGTATATTCTGTCTCCTTTCAGGTACATTAGTTTCTCCAGCCTCCTTTTTTAAGTTATATTGTTCATCATAAACTTTAGATTTCAGGAGGGGAGCAAGGCTGTCATTTATTTGAAAGGAGCTTTACCTTAATAAATGAGCCTCACTAGGACACAAAAATGGCTTTAGGTGGTGGTTTGCTGGGGGAGGTGAAACAGGCGTCATCCAGCATTGTGAGTGGGAGGGAGAGGAGGGAGCCTGATCTAACATGCTTTGAGCAAGCTGAACAGTTAATGGGGGAGGTGCTTTGAGCACAGCACTGGTGCTTTTGGGGATAGGTGAGCAGCCATCTCTGATTAAGCCCTTGGTGAGAGGTGCCATTTAGATATAATTAGATCTTTGACTTCTGCTAAAATGTTGATTTGGCTAGTGTGAATGAATAAAAATACACCACAGTTAGTTTGGGATTTGTAGCTTTTAATGACCAGGAACCCAAAAGAGAAACTCCCAGTGTAATATATGGTCCTGCTGAATAGGGTTTCATCTTTTGTAAGCAGATGGCTTCCCTGAGTTCAGTTCTTGTGGCATATGAGTGAAATTTGACTTAGTAGTTCTCATGAAATTCCTCTGGGCTGCATTGGTGTTCATGGGCTGCATCTTCCTTGTGGCTCTCTGAAATGAGTTTCTTAGCAGAGACAGTGTGAGTCTACCTGGCCAGAAGGTATGGAAATATTTCATGCTCTGTCACTGTATTGGGAGAGGAGAAAGATGGGAGAGAACCCTGAGAACTTAGTAATTTGATTTCCCACTCATATAAAAACCACACTTGATACTCACTGTACCCTGTGATTTCCTGTCTGTAGCAGTGCTCCATGCTTCAACAATGAATCAGATTATCCCTCTGCTTAGAAACCCTTCTATACCAAGAACAATTGCTCTTTTACTACAGTGTGTCCATGTGCAGGCCTCAGTCCCATGTGGCTGTGGTAGGGTATCACTTCATGTCACCTCAGGATGAAGTTGCTTGGGTAACTGAGCTCTTTCTGACTTCTTCAGGCTGAGTCCTGTCCCTGAAAGAAACAGAAGAGAACCACTTTTCAAAGTCTCAATATCAGAGTCATTGCAATTTCATATTAATTTTGATTTTTAAAAGCAGTTCCCTGTAACATAATAGTTGTATAGTTTAAGGTGTAAAAGTTGGAAGTTAGAAAATGTGTCTAAAAGGCTGCCAGCAATGTAAATGTTTTTATTTTAAGTGTGTTTTTAACTGATATCTAAAAACATTTAAGATTGTATGTAATTATGGTATATCATGTGTATACATGTACAATGGCCAAATAAAGGCCATTATCTGTCTCCTTAAACATTGATCTTTTTTTGCATTTGAACATTCAGAATCCTTTCTTAGTTTTCAGAAACATATGGTGTGTTACCTATTGTCACTCTAATGTACAGTGGGTGTTTCTTCATCTCAGATCCTTGTGAGGATTAGCTATGCTACATGGGCGTTTGGCAGTTTGGGCCCAGTTATCGTGTGTGTGTGTGTGTGTGTGTGTGTGTGTGTGTGTGTGTGTTTCAGTGTTTGAGATAGGGTCTTGCCGTGTGGTTGAGGCAGGCCTGGAGTTCACTTTCTACCCTAGGCTGGTCTTGAACTAGCAACGATCCTGCTTCAGCTTCCCGGCTTTAGCCTCCCAAGGGCTAGGATTACAGGTGTGTGTCACCATGCCCAGTTAGATCATCTTTACTAAACTGAGTTCATCTAAATTTTAGGAACCCTCTTGGTTATACTGTGGGCTTTCCAGCATGGTACAAAAAAGAATTCTCTATATGCTTTGAAAGTATAAAGTAAAACCTAACAAAAATATCTACTAGTTGTGTTCCTGGAAAGAACCTGCTTATAATTTCATCAGCTGAGGCCTTTCCTTCATTTACTTGCTTTTGGACATAGTTTTGTGCAGATTTTCCCTTGGAGAAAAGCAGTGAAGATCAATTTCTGCCACACTGGCTTCAGAAGCTCTTGGCCTGAAAAGCACTCACTTCCTGGAGAGTCCTGTGACCTGTGTTGCAATCTGATGGGGAGAGGCTGAGCCTTTACATTCCAATTGCGCTAGTTGCTCTCACCAGTCAGCCTCAGTCCCTCCCAGTAGCCAAGACTTGACAGAGTCCTTTCGCTTCCAGGAACCGTCTGCCATCTGCTCCAAAAATGTCAGCCCTGAGTACTCTGTTTCAGTATATTGATGAAAACCAGGAGCGCTACATTAAGGTAAGGGAGTATTTCCTTCTAAGAAGACACTGAAATTGGGTTTTGTTCTGTAGGTCTCAGAGGAACTTTCAAGAAGTTAAGTTGAATCACACCATTGAAAGCAAGTATTAGAGAAACATTACCTGGCCTTCTCATTATAATGTAACTAAGTTACACTTTTGGCATTTGACAAAATGTTAGTATCTTTTTCTAGAAATAAACACTACTCAAGATTATTTAATTCCCATCTATGATTTCTTGAGATGTTTGTACATTAAGAAATATTTTGGGGCCGGGGAGATAGCTCAGTAGAATAAGCGCTTCCCTGACAAGCACAAGTTCCTGAGTTCAATCCCCAGTTCCACCAAAAAAAAAAAAAAAAGGAAAGAAATATTTTGTATTTAACATGTTATAAGTGACTTGGTACTATTACATATTAATGTTTGATGTTAATTTAATTGTGTCTAATTGTTTGTAGATACCTTTCAGATAAAATCTTGAGATTCCTTGTTCTAAAAATGATAACTCTGAAAAATTTGGCTATTGCCAGGATAATAAGCTGATTTGAATTGTGACAGCATTAGGTGTTTTTCTTATCTTTCAGTTGCAATTTTGTTCACATATAAACTTTTATGCAACTCTACGTTTTAACCATCGTTAGGGGTTAAAACAGACATTCTGACATTTTTTTTCATTCTCTCATTTCTGGTATAGCATTAGTACAGTTTTTCAAATCTAAAAGAAAAGCAAACGTGAAGGATCCCATCTTTACAGCTAGTATGTTCAGGATGGAGCAGGTATAGGTAGTAAGTCAGACTCATGTCCAGAAATATGGCAGAATTGTGAGTGCCTTTCTTCCCTAATGGAGCAGCTTTTCAGAATCCTTTCTCACCTACTCTCCCAAAACAGAAACTTGCAAAATGGGTGGCCATCCAGAGTGTGTCGGCCTGGCCCGAGAAGAGAGGAGAGATCAGAAAGATGATGGAGGTTGCTGCCGCCGACATCCAGCAGCTGGGGGGCTCTGTGGAACTGGTAGATATTGGGAAACAAAAGGTATGACCTGATGTTCCTGGCCTTGTGGGACAAAAAGCGGCAGCTTCTGCCTGGGGGCTGCAGGACTGATTCTGTGGGTTCTTGAAGATCTTTTGCGTCAGATTCGCAGCTCATCTTTAAAACAAGGAAGAGAGGCTGGACTGGATTTAGATGATACATCCATGTGATTGCTCACTGTTGCTAAAGTTTTGTAATACTCAGCTTTTTCTCCAGAAAAGAGACTGTAAGCAGTTACTCTAGAATAAGTACATGTGATGGTCACTCAAGAGAATAGCTGAAATTCCCTTCCCAGAAATCAGAATGCTTTTAAATGGGGAAGTTATACCTTATTCATGCCTCTTTAAAAATAGTAAATACCCCCCACCCCACCCCACCCACACACACAGATAGCCACCTGAACACTTGATCACAAGAGAGATTTTGTGGTGGGGGCAGAGAATGTGTCAGTTATACTGGTAGGTTACAATGGCTTGTGTTATTTTTAATTTAAATGAATAGTCTCATTTATTCTACTATTTTAGCTTGACATAATTTCAGCCCCACGTGAAGCATGTGTCCCATGCAGTCTGTTTTCAAAGTTTGGAAGCCTCTTTTATATTGTATGGTGTCAAAGTTTGGGTTTATCTGTATCCTTTTGCTTTCTAATTTAGGTGTTGACTTAAAGTCACAGGCCTAGAAATTAGAGTGTGGTCACTCATTCAGTGTTCTCACATCATTGGGTGGTGTATCTACAGTAGTTTCAAGCGGAATGAAAATCAGGACTTCTTGATTCCTGGTCCAGTGTTGTTCTTTTGAGATTTTCTCCTGACAAGAAATTTTAAAGTTGACTTAAAATGTATTGTAAGCTAGGCATGGTGGCATCCCAGCACTTGGGAGGCTGAGGCAGGAGGATCACCCTGAAGGTCAGCCTGAACTGCATAGTAAGACCTTGTCTCAAAAAGCAAAACAACAAAAACAAAACAGTGTATTACAGCTTTCCAACAGTTTTCCCCTCACTCTTGAAAGAATAAACCAAGTTTCTTCATATGGTTTTCAGTTAGGTGCATGCTTAACTTTCTCCGTATTCTATTTTATTCCTGATATATTTTTTATAAAGTAAATTTTTTAAAGAATTTTTGTACTACGATAGATAGATACATTCCGTGCATGGTTGACTTTACCTTGGAAGTTCTTAAGAAAGGACCTATAAAAGATTAAAATAACAGTTGTACTGTTTTGATGTATTTTTATTCAGGAATTGAAAGTTTCTTACTGTAAGGAAGTTCTTTTTTTATTAATTTTATTGAGAAAGAAATAGCAATGAGACAGTTTCAAAACAGGTTAATAGGATAGTTATAATAATTAATACATTGCATGTTGTCTCTGTAGTAGTTATTCAGAGTACAAGATGCAGACATATCTTGTCTAAACACTATTAGTATAAATCTTCTTGTTGAACTAAGATAAAGTAGCTGTATATCTATCCTATTTTGTATATTCAGATATATATATATATATATATATTTTTTTCCCCCCACTACAAAATGGACTTTCATTTATATCCCCCATTTTTGTTTAGTTTTGTCAGAGATGGGTGTTCATTTGCCATTCAAATATTGTAGGGGTGTGAATTCAGCGAAATAATGCAATATAGTCCAATAGTCCTTAATAATAGTGGGTTATCTGCGGAACTGGCAATGTCAGAAATTGTTGACTTGAGCCTTTTACAGCTCAGCATATTAATATGGCTTTACTTTTTATACTTTGTGTTTATATTTTTCTGCTGGATGGTTAAGACCAAGATAAATCAAGACCTATATGGCAAAAAATGTAACTTTTGTATCTGACAAGGTCAGTCAAATCCCCTCAGGATTTATCCTGAAACCATGCACAGCAGTTTGTAGATCTTTTGTCAGTGTCAGCCATTGCTTGACCAGTTTGCTCTCTGTGAAAACCTAAGAGAATGTTTTCTCTCTAGGTGACTCTCCTTAGGCCCACTATACATCGTTGATTACTTTCCTCTGTGGCCCCATAATCTCCTTGAACAGGAAATTTGGGACACCACTGAGTTACAGGATGTTACAGTACAGGTTCTCTTATGTCCTGAGTTCCTGTAGGGAAGTTCTGTAATGGTTTTTGTAGGCAGTAATCACATATCATAACTTCTCTCCCCATGGATTTACAGTGACACTTTAGTTGTCCTACAGCTCCGGGCTCAAAATTTCCACTACACAAAGAGTAAAGTTTGAAAAAGATGTGCTTGGTGTTGTGTAGCTTTTTTTTTTTGCGGAACTGGGGATTGAACTCAGGCCCTTGTGTTTGACAGAGAAGCACTTATTCCACTGAGCCATCTCCCTGGCCCTCTGTGTTGTGTAACTTTGCTGCACAGTTGAACTGAAAATCCAACTTGAAAAACTATGTGGGCCAGGAGAAAGTCAGGCGGCAGGCCTCACCACAACAGAGGGATGAAACTTTAGTCTTAGGACCCTCTCAACCAGATAACATGTAGTGCTGTGTTGGGCAGCATGCTCTTGATTGGGCTTTTTGTGTGTGTGTCTTATTTGCATACAATATTGTAACCATGACCTTAAAGAAAGTGATACCAGCAGGAAAGCTAAGAGGAGCATTGAAAATCACAATAGAATTAAAAAAATAACTGCAGAATCTGTTGAAGTCCTCGGAAAATGAATTTATGAGTGTAATTTGGGGACCTCACAACCAATTATATGGTTTTCCATTATTTCTTTTTCTTTTTCTTTTTTTTTTTGTGGAACCAGGGATTGAACTCGGATCGTTGTGTTTGCCAGTCAGGCACTTATCCTACTGAGCCATCTCCCCGGCCCTCCATTATTTCTTATAGGAAAAAATACGTTACTTCTCAAACTTTTCAGTGATGCCTGAACATGAACTTGGAACAGATTGAGTTTGACAACTGAAGTATCACTGATTTGGCAGCAGTGCTCTGTGTTCAGAAGGGTGATAAAGCTGGGCGTGGTAGCACACACCTCTCTGTAATCCCAGCAATCTAGAGGCTGATGGCAGAGAAGTTCAAGGCCAGGGTGGGCTACATAATGAATTCAAGGCTAACCTGAACTACATAGCAAGACCCTATTAAAAAACAAAAACAGGGGCCGGGGAGATGGCTCAGTGGAATAAGCGCTTCCCTGGCAAGCGCAAGGGCCTGAGTTCAATCCCCGGTTACACCAAAAAATTAAAAAAAAAAAAAATAGAGGGAGCTCTATCTTGAGGCCCACGAGCAGGTGGTGCTACCTGCAGGCAGGTTACCGTAAACACATGCAGCAGCCCCAAGTGTTTTCAGGCTTAAGGAAGAAAGTTGACCCTGGGAGTTTCAGTTCCTCTTCTATTTCTGGACCAATTTATATATGGACCCCACCAGCATCTTCAGAAAAAAAATTGTATTTCAGTATTTCGAGCTCTATTGAATAGAAATTTATTTAGAAGAAATCTTTTATTATTTAAAAACCTTATTCCTGGTCATGTCAGCTGAGAGTTGACACTGACTGCAGAGGTCCTGTGTTCTGTGTGCCCAAGCAGGAGAGTTAAAAGACAGTATTTGCCTGTGGTGGCCTCAGGCCAGTGTCATGAGAGCTGATGCAGAAAGGCTCCTTTGTAGTGTGAGCAGGTGAGGGACATCAAGGCCACATGCTGGTAGCTGTCAAGTTATGAGTACTTGAGTGTTTATAAGTAGAGCTTACTGACCAGGCCAGTCCTGTGTCCTTAGAGAATTCTGACCACCTCAGGAGCCCTGGAGTTGGCTAGCGCCAATACTGTCTTCATGTCCATTTGCTGTTCTTTTCACCATTGGTTCAGGTGTGTGTTATGTTTGCTAATGGGTATGTTCATAAAGAGTATTTTCAAATCAATAAACTAATGTAGATGTGTGCTGTCTGGTTGGAAGTCACTTCCTCTTGCAGCTGAAACAAGAGTGCCTGGCTTTTGCCCTTCCCTGCCACTTGCTGATGACACTTAGTAGCAGTCAGTTTTTCTGTTGGTATATAGGACAGATAGAGAAGGTACAAGGGCTGTGGACTTGGCACAGCCAAAGGGCCTTGGTTTAAGGTCACAGGCAGAAGGCATTGGCCCATGGGAAGGTGAGCGAGGACCTGAGACTGATTTGCCTTTATTCCCCATACTTCTTCTCTAGTGACTGATGACCTGTTCTCCATTCTTACAGATGACAAGTAGCAGGGCCTTTGGGAAGAACAAAGGTGTATCAAATGTCCCTACTTCATTTAGTATAGCTTAGTATGGGTTGTATTTCTTTGTATCTTGATTTGTGGCCTATCCTGTGCATAATATTAATCTATATTCAGAATTTTGAAAATATGCCTTTCCATTTAAGATTGTCATATACCCCCAATTGTACCCCTATGTATACTGGGGGTAGAATTCAGGGCTTTCATATTAGGCTACAGTCCCAGCCCTTTTTTATTTATTTTTAGATATGGTTCTACTAAGTCACTAAGTTGACAGGCTGGGTTTGAACTTGCAAACGTCCTGCCTTGGCCTACCACAGTGCTGGGGAGATGGATGGGAGTCATGACATCCAACAAGATTATAGATGTTTTCAGCTATAATTTCAACAAATAACAAACTTAAGTTGCATGCCAGACTCAGCTCCTGTTGTTTTGTCATACAAGAGCTTTTTTAAAAAAAACGCTTTTAGAAATCTACAAAACTAGGGTCTGGGGAGATAGCTCGGCAGTCCAAGTACCTGCCAGGCAAGCACAACGACCTGGGTTTGATCCTCAGTACCGCATGCTGTGCTGGCCCCTGAATGCCAGGTGTGCTGTGCCAGCTACCAATACCGGGCGTGGTGACACACTCCTGTAATCCCAGCACTGGGGAGACTGACACAGGAGGATCGCTAAGAATCTTGCTACATAGCAAGACCCTGTACCAAATAATAAATAAATGAATGATTAAAAGAAAAACATTGACAAAACTAACAAATGTAATTCAGTTTAAACAAATTCTTGTTAATGAATAACTTTTGAACAGTATGATCTTTTTGTGGGGAGGGATACCAGGAATTGAACTCAGGACCTTGCTCTTGCCAGGTTGGCACTATGCCATTGAGCTATGGCCCTGGCCAAATGATATGATCTTTTAAACTTTATGACAGTTGATTGACCAGAGTAGATAAGAAAGCCTAGCTATGTTCAATGTCTGCTATAAATTCTGAGCTTATTAACAAGATTGTCCCTGATCATTTCCTTCAACTTAGCTCCCTGATGGCTCAGAGATACCTCTTCCTCCCATTCTGTTGGGCAAACTGGGCTGTGATCCACAGAAGAAGACCGTGTGTATTTACGGGCATCTGGATGTGCAGCCTGCGGCCCTGGAGGACGGCTGGGATAGTGAGCCCTTCACCTTGGTGGAGCGAGATGGTGAGGGGCAGAACAGGATGGTCCTGCCTGGGGCTCCCTTGATTTCACTGAGGAAAGGGCCGAATCAGGAAAGTATTTCTTAGTGTCACTTTTGCCAGAGCACTGAAAATCTCCTGAGTTTTTTTCCTCTCTGCAGTACACATCATTTTTAATCCTATCTAGTGAGTAAGTTGTTTTAAGTTTTTCACATATGCCTTATGGTTGAAAATCCAGAGAGCCTACCTTTTGTCATGGAAAGGAGTCCTGCATGGTGTGGGTCTGAGCTTCCTTTGCTATTGATTCCTTTTCCAGAACTCAGTCTAATTGGGGCCATGTAATCTTTAAGGCCTGTAATCTAGTGCCTCGTCCTAATTGAGTATTGCCTCTGGGCCGCATTTTAGTCATTTTACTGCAGAGTGTTCTAAAGGTAGCTGTGTTTCCTGGACACCTGTCTGCCCTGGTGAAGTGAGAGGGGGGATAGCTTGTTTACACAGAGCTTCCGGGCTGGGCGCCAACAGGCATGGCAGGCCCTGTGAAGGGCCCACTGGAGGCTGGTCTCTGCCATGCCCTTACTCTCATTTCTGAATTTGCACTCGTTTCTATACATGACAGTATATGACAGTCAGTACAGATGCCCTATCATCTGCCTCTTGCCCTTTCTGTAACTGCTTGCAGAGTCTGTTACATCTCTCCTGCCTTGATGTGTACTGAAACCATGACTACAAAATTGAAAGATCATTTTCCTTAAACATCTATAAAACATTAGCATAGACCCTTGTCCTTGTCCTGGTGTCCTTGCTAACCTACAGCTAACTGCAGAGTTAATCAGCCACTTGGACTTAGACTTTGCTCCTCTTAAGTATCAGACACCACAAGGTTGCCTTAGTAGTTCTTTACCTCATCTTCATATCTTAGCCCTCTCTTGTTTTGGTTGGAAAGGCACCATCCTCCTGCCCCCTGCACCAGAGAGGGCCACCCTGTCCCTGTCCCCACCCTCCATGGCCCCTTCTTCACTGAGGGCCTCCCAGTGCTTGTTTATGTTGCCCCTTTTCCCCATCCAGCCTTACTTCTTCCATACCTCTTCTAAACTGCTTCTAAAGTGACACAGCATGCTATTCTGACACCTCTTAAGAGTCATATCAGTGCAAGGGTCCTTATAGCCTCTTGCTGATCCCCCTTTCCTTCCTTGTTCTTCTCCCACCTTTGCCCAGCCACACAGGCCTACTTGGTGCTGTGAGCAGAATCCTAACCCTCTGTGCTCACTGGCTTGCACATCAGCTTCTGTCACCCATGGTCCATGGGGAGGCATCCCATGTACTTAAACAGGATACCCACACACTAGACTATAGCATCCTCTCTAAGGATTAGAAAAGCTCCCCCTACCATAAATAACCTTGATTACAAACATCCAGCCGCATATGCCCTTCAGAGGAGCCCTGGAAGGCGGGGTGTAAGTCATAGTGTCTCTGTGTTGATGCACTGTCCAGCACCGTCCCGGCCACCATAGTTACTTGGAGTTTGTCATAGTGGAAAACTCTGTTTAGGAGAGTTTATATTTAATCTTTAGCTTTTCTGGAAAAAATGGGTTTATTTATAAAAGCAACTTCCCAAGATGATGACAGCTTCAAGCCTGCTAGTGTTTTGGGGTGGGCCATACAGAAACTGCTTTCCAGGAGGTAGGGACACTGGCCAGAACCATCAAGGGCCAGCGAAAGAGGGGCCAGGCCCTCAGCATGGAGGGTTCCTGACTTCTCAGAGGCTACCTGGTTTCCCTGAGACTACCTGGGGCCGTAGGGCAGAAAGAGAATGAAGTCTGTGGACTGACTTTCTTTTATTATTATTATTTATTAGATACAGGGTCTCATTACACAGCCCGGTTTTAGGACCAGCATGGCATGCAGTACCAAGGATCAATCTTAGATCCTTGCACTTGCCAGACAGGAGCTTAGACCGCTGAGCTATCTCCCCAGACTTAACTTCTGAGCAATCTTTTCTATGGTGCTGAGGATCAAACCCAGTGCTCCAGCCATAATGGGCAAGCGCTTTTCTAGTGAGCTACACCAGGCCTGAGTTGTCAGTGTTGTTGGACAACTCCCTGGCCTGGGCATCTACCTCTACTCCAGAAGCAGATGGGGGAAGGGCGCTGAAGCTAGTAATAAAAATGAAAGTTCTATCAAGTATTGATATGTTGAACTTTTAAGTCCCTACAGAATGTGAAGAAAAAACAAAAATTAAAAAAAAGGAATAAACAATTACATAATTTTACACAGAAATTTAGAAACCTAACCATATACAGCATTGTAGTAGGATAGGCCTATGACATTTTTTTTTCTTGTCTCCTGTTTTCATTTATTAACTTTTTTAAACAAACATTTACTTGAGAGACAGTACAGCAGTAATTGGTATGACGTGACAAGCAGTATATATTTAAAAGACCAGAATGACATGGGGCATTTTTGATTTTTATTTTCCTTTGGTTTACATATGTTTGTGATATGTGATAATTACTTACCTAAGAATAAATTCATTTTAGGCAAGTGGTTAAAAAAAAGAAAAGAAAGTTCTATTCTTTATCAACATAGGTGTCACAGTTGGGTAGGGGAGGATTTGTGGTACTTTTGTTGTCATGGTATGTGTGTTTCCTAAATGTGGCTCAGGTTCTTATATTGCCACCAGCTCCATTTGGTAAATAGTTTTTAATGAGCTACCAACCAGTCGGGATTTCCTGGAATTGGATTTTAAGAGTCTGGACTAATTCAGCAGGATTATACCTCTGGCCAGGTTCAATGACAAGGATGGGGTATGTTGGAGGTGCCCAAATGGGTTGTCTTATTAACCACAGTGACTGCTTTGTGGACTCTAGCAGTGGTGTTGGGTGGACGCTCTGGGCTTCTGATATGGAGAGGATCTGTACCATAGACAGCCACACGTGTTTCTCTTAGCAGTTGTTCACTTGAGATATGCTCCTGTTGAGTTCTCCAAATCAGTAACTGTGTTGAATTTTCTGATTGCTGTTATAGGCAAGTTGTATGGGAGAGGTTCAACTGATGATAAGGGACCAGTGGCCGGCTGGATGAACGCTCTAGAAGCATATCAGAAGACAGGTCAGGTATGTCTCCATATCTGGGTTCTCCAGAACCCTAATTTACTGGGTTCTGCTGAATGTAGGTAAAGATTACTAGATAGGAGAAAGCATGTTCCCAACCTTAATCAGCACAGGTGATTGAGAGTTAAGATTATCACTCTTCCCAACTTGAAAAACATGAAAAGATAGTTGTTTCACAGATGCTCAAGAGTCAGAAGGTTGACCCATCAGTAAGAGTCTTGGCAACACATGGAATGTGATTCTTCCTTCCTTGCTTCCTTTCTTCCTTTCTTACTCTCTTACTCTCTCCTTCTCTTTTTCTTGTGATGGAGATCAAACCCAGGACCTTGTGCATGCTAGCAAATTCTCACTGAGCCACATCCCTAGCCCAGAATGTGAATTTTCAATTGACTGTACCATGAGTGTGGTCACTTGGTAGGATGTATCAGGCTTTGTGATGTTGGTCAAATTGCTTACTTTCTGGGGTTTATAGCCTCATAAAATTAAATTTTAAAGAACATTTCTATAACTATTGAATATCTGCTCATTGCTCAAAGTTGGTAAAAAAAAAAAAGAGAAAAGTAGGGAAAAAAATTGCTAGCTGTCAGTCCTCAAAATACTATTACCATAATTTTTGATGATTTAACTTGTGATCATGCTGTGTAGATAATTTGTGCATCTGATGTACAGCTTCTCTCACAGTAAAGTAATAAGCATTTTTTGTCAAAGCTTTGAGGCTTAGATCTGAGAAAGGTCTCAGACTCTCTTGGCCCAGAGGGAAATCTTGTATAGGAGAGAATACACAGAACTAATTCTGTGGTCAAACTGAGTGCTGGGCAGAGGACCCAGAAAGCCTCCGCTCCTCCTGGGTCCTGTGGAGCTTTTAGTCTCATGCTGGAGACGTCTGGGAGACACTAGAATGACAAGAGGCTGTGTACAGGCCAGAACCCCCCCCCCCAGGAGCTTTTGTTGTACCAGTTTATTGTCCAGGTCCTGGTAATATTTCATGGGGTGCAGAGTGGAGGAGCAGGGCGAGTTTGAACCAGGACTCAGTGGACTTGAGCCCAATTTGGGCCCTGCTGTTCTGGGACCTGTGTGGCCTCTGGCAAGTTGCCTGGCTCATATGCACCCTTCTTTTCTTCTCTGGGGATGGGGCTGCATGTCTCACCCTGCAGAGCTGGGAGGGCTCCTGGGAAATGATCCAGCTCCAGGACAGTGTGTCACAGTGACCCTTGAGCTCCCAGGACCAAGCCACTGTTTCTAGAAAGAGAGCTGTGCTGGCACTGCAAGAGGGCCTTGTCCATCATCCGTGCATTAGCAGAGGTTCTCTGCTGCAGTGAGGACTCGGGAAAGCTTGTGCTGTGCTCTTTGTCCTTATGTCACGGAGGGAACAGCTCAGGCTTGCCTGGACGCTGTTCATGCACTCACAGTAGGCCAGCACAGGGATCTCTCAGTTAGGTTTTACATAGATGTGGTATAGAGGGCTTCCCTTTCCAAAGTGGGAACTGTGCCCTGCAGACCATTGCTTACCTGTGGCTGGGCTATAGGAGGTCAGATATTTAAAATTTGCAGAATTTTAAATAGTGTTGGTGGCTTTGTGTGTGTTGCTTCTGAAAGGAAAGTAAGAAAGCTAAATCCCTCTCCTGACCTTTACCTCTCACAGGAGATTCCTGTCAATGTGCGATTCTGCCTTGAAGGTATGGAGGAGTCTGGCTCTGAAGGCCTGGATGAGCTGATTTTTGCCCAGAAAGACACCTTCTTTAAAGATGTGGACTATGTTTGCATTTCTGACAATTACTGGCTAGGGAAGAAGAAGCCCTGCATCACATACGGTCTCAGGGGCATTTGCTACTTCTTCATTGAGGTACAGTGCTAAGTGGGCTCACTAACCCCTAAGTGTCTTTATTCCTCTGTACTCTAAAGAAGGCAGGTACCACCAGGTATGATGGAGGATTGCTGTGAGTTTGAAGCCACCCTGGGCTACAAAGTGGTGTATTTCAAGGCCAGCCTGAACTGCATAGGGAAACCCTGTCTCAAAATGACAAAGAAAAAAAGAGAAGTCATGTACCAAGAAGTCCTTCATAGATGAAGAAGCACAGAGCATGCTGAGTATCCTGCTTCTTAGTTTCCATAAATAATCCTAACACCCAGCAGGCATGCACAGTGATAATATGTGATGATCCGAAGTTCATTTCTTAGCAGTATCAAGTCAGGCAGTATTACTACTAATGTTGTCTTGAGCAGTTGCAAGGAGACTGAATGCTAGTCCATTGAAGAAGACTGAGATACATATGAAGCATTTGAAAAATACTTCGATTTAAAATGTTCACACTTCAGTCTTGAATCTCTATCTGTGGCTGAGTTATCTTGAGGGATAGAGACTGTCTTAGTTACTTTACTTGTTGTTCCCAACACCCACAAGTTAAAGAAGTAAAGATTTATTTCATCTCACATTTTATATTATAGACGTTTCAGTCCGTAGATAGCATGGGTAGCATAGCAGAGGACCATCACAGAAGAGAAAGAATTGTGGCATGGCAGGGAGGCAGCAGAGCAGCAGCAGGCAGCAGCAGCTCTAACTTCCCTCACTCCCTTTTATCCTTTCCAGGGTACCAGCCTTTTGGGCAGTACTGCCCACACCCAGCATCACATGCTTATCCATATTCACACATCCTAAACTCGCCCCTTCAAAATTCCCAGCTGTGGCTATATTAGTCTTGGTGGGGGGGAGGTCTAGATACAAACCACAACAGAGACCTCCAGTAGGTAAAGAGAAGCCAACACAGGATGTATTATGGACAGTTATGGACACCAGCTAGACTGTCACTCATTGGCAAAGGTCATCTGCCAAGTAGGGGTGGAGGCCTCTCCCATATAGTTAGTGTGATGGTTAAAGTTGTTCCTGTCTAAGGGTTCTTTTATCATCCTTACACCACAGAAATCATGGCCCTTGCTGCTTGGAGCACATATTGGTCATGCTGTGGCTACACAGGTTGCAAGTGATCCTAGGCTGCAAGTAAGAGTTCTTCCTGCTCCCCAAGATGGGACCACACACCCACTGATTGCCTTACTGCTTATAGGAGTAGTCAGGGGTCAGGTAGATCAGAACCCAACTACTTGGCCTCCAGATCCATGTTGGTCATGAGACATACTAGGTATCACCCTCATAAGAGATAGGTGCAGGGTCTTTATGAAGGTATGGGTTCTGTCTTTCCTTAGAAGAAGACCCTGAGTCCTAGGGAGATTACCATGTGGTGTGCACTTGCCTGTGACCAGCATTCACAGTTTATCTGATTAGTACATCCAGTTTGCCTGTGGTTAGCATTCCCACCTTTCTAGTTAACAACATTCCTAGCGCCTATGGTTAGCACATCTGGGAATGTCTGTTGCTGTGTAAATTTTCTAATTGGGGAAATGCCTTGCTTTGCTCCTTAAAGGGGTAGATTGTGACTTGAAAAATTGTCAAGCCATATAAATGTTCTTTGTTCGGTACACTGTCACATGATAAAAATAAGCTCCCATAAGCAGCCAAACAAAGTGGCCTTTGTTTCTGTCCAGGTGGAATGCAGTGACAAAGACCTCCATTCTGGGGTATATGGCGGCTCAGTCCATGAGGCCATGACAGATCTCATTTCATTGATGGGTGAGTGCAAGCTTGGCTCCGCGTCACTCAGTACTTTGTGATTTGGAAAAGAATGGGCAAGGCTTATGTTTAGGCTGTCTGTCATCAGCACTTAGTGCATCTCAGTGTTCTTCATGAACTGACTCCTCTGTGTCTATTCAAATTCCTGCCCTCTCTCCAGCTCCCCACTTTTTGTTAAAGTCCCTTGTGCTTCCTCTCTGCCTCTATCCTCTTCCTGTTCTGTCTGGGATGTTCTTGGGCCTTAGCATGACCTACTGAATCCTGCTGTACCACAGAACACCCCAGGTCCTATGCAGCCTGCCCAGAAGTCCACAGAAGGATTGTCCTTCTCCTGGACACTATATTTTACATTTTGCAGAGGGCATTTACTTTGGTGAAATTTTGTTTGGTTTTTTTTTTTTTTTTGGAACCAGAGATTGAACTCAGGCCCTTGCGCTTGCCAGGCAAGCACTTATTCTATTGAGCCATCTCCCCAGCCCTGGTCTGTGTTTTAATAACTGGTTATTTGTGGGTTCTTCTGCTTGATCAGCTCCTGGAGAGCAAGAGCCATGGTTTTCTATTCCTGGTGTCTTTGTGATGTGAGGCAAGGCCAGATACAAGTCAGTGAGCTCCATTTTTGTCCCCTAAAGGAGAGGGAAGAAGATGTCATTTCTGAGGTTGGAGTTGGCTCTGTCCTGCTCCCAGTTTTCTCTCTTCAACTTGGGAGCAGTGTGTTTCTTGTGAAATGTGTGTTATAAACAAAGGTTTTAGAGTAAGCCTGCCTGTGGCAGGGTATTTGTTTAGTATCCCAGTGTGTGACTAAGGAAAATTTCAGAGGAGTTTCCATCTTTTATTTGGGCTCTATCTAAAAAGTGGGCATAATGGTCCTGCTTACCTTGCTAGGCTATTGTGATAACTATTTGACTTCCTAGAGTAAGTCTAGAGGGAGCAGGCTCCATAATGACATGAACACAGCCACCCACTGATCCTCCTGACCCATGTCTCATGTGGTCAGGAATGTGAGCTGTGGGTCTTCCTATAGCTAATTCCTGGAATCATAGTGGCTGAGAACAGCTGATTTTATATCTTCAACTGAGCATTTTAATCCTCTGGCCTCCCTCAGGCTGTCTGACAGACAACAAAGGGAAAATCCTTATCCCTGGCATTAACGAGGCTGTTGCCCCCCTGACCAGTGAAGAGCACAAACTTTATGACCACATTGACTTTGACATGAAGGAGTTTGCCAAAGACATTGGGGTTCAGACCCTCCTCCACAGCTGCAAGGTACTACTGGATGTCCCCTCTCTCAAGCCTTCAGAGGCCCCCTTTATCCCATGTCTGGGAGCTCCTTTTGGGCATGAGCTTAGGAGTCATCAGATGGTACAGACATCTAGAAAGCAGAATTGGGCATATTGGGAATAGCAAGGGTTTTTAAATATCACAATCTGCTCTCCACTAAATAAGAAGAGAAAATATGTAGAGGGAACATGGGCTGTCTCCTGCTGTCTAGTTAAGCCAGATCTAACAGGTCCAAGTGGGAAGGTAGAAGCTGTTTGCACAAAATGTTTACTGAACTGTTAAAGAGAAAATCATGTGGCCCTTCTCTTAGTAGTTTACTTCTTCGTGTCTGAGGTATGGATATCAGTTCAGAGACTTCCTTGTAGCTAGGATTAATCTAATGTAGCAGCAGACCCACCCTCTAGGCCCAAGCATAGGAGGATAGGCTGGTCTTAGCTCTTTAGTTTCATCTTAACCCAGAACTCCAGCAGGTTGTGGGCCCGCCTGGGGAGAGGCTGGTCAGGCCTGGTGAGAGAGCCCTGCAGCACAATGGAGAGAGGTTGGTGTGTGCAGTCAGAGAGCAGAAATGCTGCTTTGTTTGGGGACTGAAGACTCTTAGTAGGAGAGGTCACGCGAATGGGACAGCATCAGATCCTGGGGCTGCTCAGGCCAGCAGATACTTTCTTGGAGGTATGTGACAATCTCTAACCACCCCTCCCTGGGTTAGCTTCTTTCCATGTCTGTCAGGCCCCTAGTTAGGCCTAACACAGGAGCAGCTAACTGCCCAGATGACATCCCATCCAAGAAAGGATTGCCCTGAACTCCTCTGTTGTTATTCCACAGCAAGACATCCTGATGCACCGATGGCGGTACCCATCCCTCTCCCTCCATGGCATTGAAGGCGCCTTCTCTGGGTCCGGGGCTAAGACTGTGATACCTAGAAAAGTGATTGGCAAGTTTTCCATCAGGCTCGTGCCGAACATGACCCCTGAAGTTGTCAGCGAGCAGGCATGTGGGGCTATGGGTTACTCTAGGGGCTGGGGGCTATGGTATTACCAGAGATTTAGGGGAACGTAAGGGTCTGCTTTCATGGGGCAGAAACCTAGCCCTTCATTTGCCATTTCTTTTGCTGCTCAATAATGACTAGAATAAGCAATGCAGAAACTTAGCAAAGGTAAAGCCCATATGACCACGCATCACACTAACTGCTGAGATATGCCCTCACCCCAAGGCTGGCCAGATCCTGACTTTGGAACACATATATCAGGTAGGAGTATGGGAGCACTGCCTTGTGGGGATGACAAGCAAAAGGAAGGATTCCAGTCTCTGCAGGTCAGCCAGCTCTTGGAGCAGTTGCCCTGAGTGAGTCCAGGAAGATTATATATATATACACAAAGGAACTCAGAATCTTTCCTACTTGGAAGAGGAGACTGAGACTTGCTGTCAATGGGAGAACTGAGATTTTTGTCTCAGGCCATATCCTTGGGTCAGCTTTTAGATCCACTACATCTAGATGAAATCTAGCTTGTGAACTCTTATAAAATGTATTAGTCTGCCAAGCCCGTGGTAACAAAGCCCTATAGATGGAGTGACTTAAGTAACAGTTTATTTCTCGAATTTGTAGAGGCTGGAAAATCTAAGCTCAAAGTGCTAGCAAGTGGTATCTAGTGAGGGTCCTCTCCTGGCTTACTGACAGCTTCTCCCACTGTGTGCACCCCTACTGCAGAGTAAGCACACAGTCTCCAGAGACTTTTTTTTTTTTTTTTGGTGGAACCGGGGATTGAACTCAGTCCCTTGCACTTGCCAGGAAAGCGTCACTCCACTGAGCCATCTCCGCGGCCCCAGAGACTCTTATAAGAACACTAATCCTATCTTTTAGGGCCCTACCCATCGACTCACTTTAACCTTAATTATTTCCACAAAGGCCCTATATCGCCAGTATCATGACAGTGAGGCTTAGCATATTAACATAGGAATGTGGGGGGAATACATATATCCCATGTAGTATATGAAGCAAGGCAGACATTTTTGAAAACTTAATTATTATAATTTGGAGCATATAAGTAAAAGGTAAATTGCTTGAAATTAAAACATTGCCTTTCAAATAATTGGGTTTTGTATCTTGATTAAGTCCCCTTTCCTGCTATTATAGTGATGCAGATCGATATTCAAGAGCAGAAAGTGAGACTCATTTAGATTTGTTGTAGACCCACTGCAGTAGATGTAGATCTGTTGTGGACACGTCATGGATGATTCCTCATAGGTCTGTCACTAACATTGGGTCAAATGCCAAGCATATTAAACATTGTGTCTCTTCTGTTTGTGGTTTAGGTTACAAGCTACTTGACTAAGAAGTTTGCTGAACTACACAGCCCCAACAAATTTAAGGTGTACATGGGCCATGGTGGGAAGCCTTGGGTATCCGATTTCAACCATCCACATTATATGGCGGGGAGAAGAGCCCTAAAAACAGGTTAGACACTCCTTAAGAATGGATGCCAGGGCCCTCAGAATGTCTGAGGGCTCTTTGTCTTGTTGAGTACATGGCTAGCCATTTGCAGTGTTTTGAAGAAGACCTGTGGGATGTGGCCTTGGCCACCAGCCAACTCCTTAAAAGTAGTATCTTGGTTACTTTGCTCATTTCTGAGACAAAATACTGACATCCAAAGTTAATAGTGGAAAGATTTCTTTTAGGTCATAGTTTATAGTGGCTTTAGTCTATAGTCAGCTGGTTCCAAGGCATAGAAGAAGGGCATTACAGAGAGGAGACAGTCCATGGCATGGCAAGCATAAGGCAGTACAGCAGAATAGCAGGAATGAGCCTGCCTGCTTTCTGTCCCTTTATATCCCATGAAAACTACCAGCCTATGAATGGGTGCCACCCAGACCCACCACTGGGGCTTCCATTATCTACACCCTTAATCCCAATACTGTACCACACCCTTAGTCTATATATTTGCATACCGTAATCCCTCCACCTTCAAGCCTCCCCACCTGTGAGTGCATGAGACTTTGAGGGGACATCTGGATACAGGCCATAACAGGCAGGGATGCCATCTTCAGGGTCTAGACTCAGCAAACAGTGCCTCTGTGACAGATCTCCAGCCTCAAAACCTCCAAATTCACCTTTTTTCTTATTTCATTTCTCCCAGTTTTTGGTGTTGAACCAGACTTGACCAGGGAAGGTGGCAGTATCCCTGTGACCTTGACCTTCCAGGAGGCCACAGGCAAGAACGTGATGCTCTTGCCAGTGGGGTCAGCAGATGATGGTGCTCACTCTCAGAATGAAAAGCTCAACAGGTGAGACTCTAAGACCTAGATATAAAGCCAGGTTGGCTTGAGTGTCATTACTGCTTAGAGAAGTGAGCAGGATATTGTGGGATCACCCTTCCTCAAGTATGGATTTGTAGGTAGAAATTTCTGGTGGGAAATGGGGACAAGGCCTTGGTGGAAGCAGGTGGTGGAAACAAAGTTCCACCAATGTTCTATGTTCATTGCTTTTTCATCTACCACTGATAAAGCCCTCTCTACTTTCCCTTTTGAAAAATTACAGTGTCATTGCAAAGTGCTTAAGCTGCTGAAGCAGATGTGATGGGGTTTCCTCTATCCTGCAGGATGGAGAAGAGATTCTGGCTCGTGGCAGTCAGGAGAGACTCGGGCAGGTGGGGCTAAGGGCAGTACAAAAGGGCTGCTTGTGCCTATGGCTGCTAAGTCCAAGGGCTCATCCAGGTGACCAGTACACAGGAGTAGGAGACAGCAAAGACTCTACTTAGGGAGATGTGGTTAGAGGAAACAAAAACCTGGTTACTAGCATGTAAGGTGAAGGCCTGGGTTTCAGAAACAAGATCAGGTGCCCTAGAGCAGGGTTTATTGCCAAGACCTTGGGTAAGACCTCTACATTCTTAGGCCAGGGCAAGGTTGGTCCTTCAGGTGGAGAGCAGTCAGACCTTCATTGTAGTATCAGGTGGCTGTATTCTAAGCAAGATTGCAAGACAAGGTGGGAAATGCTGCCCAGAAGGAAGTATCCAATGCCTTGGGACGCACCTCTGGATATCCAAATGCCGGTGCCACTTAACACCAGCTGACATGGTGATTTTTCTTTCCCATCAGACATAACTATATAGAAGGAACCAAGATGCTGGCTACGTACCTGTATGAAGTGTCTCAGCTGAAGGACTGAGAGACCCATTTTCCATGGAGTGCCATGTCTGACCAGAAGGAAACCCACCTCTGCCCTCTGTCCTTACCCTTGCCATTTCTGACTAGCCTAAGAAAGTGGAAGTTCCTTCTCCTTTCTCTTGTCAGATCATGTACAGACTTCCAAGAAGGGCCACTTGTCCAGCTGTTGGGTAGGTGGCATTAGGTGTGCACAGCAGTTGGGACCATTTATTCCAGGAGGCTTGTCAGGAGCAGCTGGCTGACCGCTGGGTAGATTCTCTGAAGTGGCCAGTGTGACTCAACCCCCAGAAAGCAAAAGCCCATGAGGTTCAAAAGCTCTGTATGAGGTGTTGGCTGTCATGGGGTTGGGATAAACTGGACTTGTTGCTTTCTGCCTGTGTTCTGCCTTCTCTGTCAAGTAACTCACTTTAGATACTCAGAAAGGAGATAAAAAAGTTCAGGGGCTTCTTACACCATGACAGCTCCCTTTGTAATCTCTTGGTGTCATATTTGATCCTGTTCTTTCACCTGACTTAGGCCATCACCTGTGTTCTATCTGTTACCAGACTTCAGAACCCAACCTAATAGTCCTCGTGGAAGGACTGGCCCATCTCAGTCTGTGTTGCTCAAATAAAAGCAAAAATGAAGCCTCCGAGGGAATCACTGCATCTTACCTATTTGTGGAGCGCATGTGCTTGTTGGGTGCCTTCTGCCATGGGGAACGCATGTGCTTGTCAAGTGGCATCTGGCTTACTGGAGGCAGATGTGTGCTTGAGCACCATCTGTCTTATTTCTGCAACATACTTGTGTTTGTAGGTGCAGCCTGGGTAACTGTCAGCTTAGGGTCAGGGCTCACAAAAAAAGTTCAGGTCTTTCCAGGTGAGCATGTGCTCTCCCCAGGCCATAGAAGGGTGCTTACTTATCATTCCCTGCATGCACAAGAGAGGTGGCCTGTCCCTGTGTGCTTATTACTGCTAAGTCAGAGTGAGCGTGATTCAAACAAGTTAGTACAGCTCATATCAAAGACCTATGAGTAAGCTTTGGTAAAGGGACCCAGGGCTCCTTGGAAAGTAGTTGATCGCAGCGCCAAGATGGCAAAAGTGTATGAACCTGGAGCATCTCTTGTTGGCAGAAAGTCACATCACAGGACACTGGAGCCAGCTCAGCAGAACACAAGCCCAAAGAACAATTAGAGCAAGAAAATGATAATATTGAGTTGCATCCTACAGAATAAATAACTGCATGAGTCTCTACTAGTACAAATAAAAAGTAAGTAGAAGAGGAGGGGTAAGGCCTTCTGAAGAATTCCATTCCATCAGTGAACAAGTAATAGAAGGAGAAAAATCGCCATTGGAATGCCTCAGGCACTACAGCAAGATCCAGTTTACACAAACATAAGCAAACGTTTAGACGCAATCAAGCATGTTCAGGGTGGTGTGGCCATAAACCAAGCAAATGTTCAGAATCAGAGTAGTTGCACAGCCTGAAAGTAGGTTCCCAGTATTTTATTCTGCAGGGGAAAATAGTGTATTCAGAGTAGTGAAACCTGGCAGACTCAGGTGAACCATCTGATCAAAGTACAAGTGAGCCGTGACACACTAGCATCACATACCCTAAATGCAATGTCCCGGGGAGGATGTGAATTCGGGCAGCCTCAAAGCCCAAAAGCATTAGACAAACTGATAAAACCTGAGTTAGATCTGTAGTGTCAGACTGTTGCATTTTACTGTGGTTATGTAAGACACTGGTTATGTGAAAAGTATTTGAATAGTCAATTGTTTGGGGTTTTTTTTTTACAACTTTTGTGTAAGTCTAATTTCAAAGTGAAAACTTCAGCAGACAAGGTGGCCTGGCTTCCAGCACAGCTAGACCCAGCACTTACTATTGATCAGTCCTCCGAGCTTCACCATTCCACTTCTACATCAGGACCTTAAAAAATACATTCTTTCAGCTTCTAATCTTGCAAAAAAAGATTCTTACCCCCTGCCAAATCAACAGTAGTGCCTGAGTCTGTGGAGTATAGCGGGTCATGAGCCCATCACAAGCAGTTCTCATGCCAGAGTGCCCAGGTCAGGGAAGCATCGTGAAGTGTGTCTTCTCAGAGCCACAAGACAAAGGGATGATTTCATTTCCAAACCTTTAAGATTGGAAATGGAAGTTCCAGTCATATGTACAGAATCTAGAGTTGAAAGAGCAGATACAAGAAGCAGATACTTCTGAGATTGCACACTCAAGCACGAGCCTGTACTTGGAGGTGGCATAAAGACCTTTCTGGTGAGAGGATGGCCCAGCATAGAAGCCACAGGTGATGAGTGATGACAGAACTTGAAAACCTGCCCCCCAGAAGACTGTACAGCGAGGCATCTTGCTGATGGCAGTCCACTGGGAAACACCCCAAGGAGGGTGCCAAGGGAAACCATTGCCATACTGCCAGCCACCAGGAACTGTGGGCAGGGCGTCTGGGAACACAGACTGCAAGACCTGTCATTGGCAGGAAACTGCACAAGGAGTTTGTTCTATTTAGTGCCTCTGTGGCTACCTAAAGCCAAAAAATCAGTAGCAAAAATGTTCTTGTGCATTTTTAAATACTAGCATTATTATAAAGTTTGTGTATATTTTGTTCACTTTGCTATTTTCACTCAAGGGCTTCTTGTACCCAGCACTTAATAGAATTGAATGGTGATAGTGGAAGCTACTTTTTCAGGCCTGGTGACAGTTTTTTAGTACCTGTGTTTCCCATGTCCCCCTCTGCCCTGAAATAACCTCTATATCTTTAGGAGCCAGAGAATCTTCGTCCCCCCTGTGTGTCTGCCTACATGCTTGAGTGACCCAAACTTTGCACTGTCTCAGAAATCTGCGCTTTAATTAGTTAAGGGATAAATTCAGTGCTGCTGAAATGGCCAGTGTTCAGCAACAGTTCCAGGGGAGAAGCTGTTCTGTGAGGAGAGGAGGGTTACTGGGGGAAAGCAAAAGCTTGTCCTACATTGCTGTCAGAACTTGAGTGTGCAGCTTGGCCTCCGAGAAAAACACAGCAACTTTGTCTCATTTAGGGAGACAGAACTTAAACAGTACCATGTTTTTGAGTTAGAACAGAATGAGCAGGGTAGAGTGAGCAGACAAGAATGTGACACAAACACTATACTTCTGTTCGTGTCACTTTTTGAATCTGTCAGGACAAAAAGTGTACCCTAGAAATGTTCAGAATTTTTCAGGGTGTTAATTAGAGAGGATTACATTAGGATATTGTAGTAAAAAACCAAAGGATTGCACGTGATTTATGCTTTTGTTTGTCATATAAAAGTCTGGGAAATCCAGGGCGGTATGATGACAGCAAGTGAGGGAAAGGGGAAGGTAAGATGTGCTCTCTTGAAGGGCACAAGCCAGAAGGAGCAGGTCTGTCTTCATTTGCATCTTACTGTAAAGCAGTCACGTGACTGCCCCTACCACAAGAGAGGTGGGAATCGTGACCTGGATGAAAGTCCTACAATCATAGGAGAGGAAAAACAGGTATCAGAGGACAAACTTTTAGTTCCTCTGTTACATTACAGTTGTACCATGACAACTTTCCCAAGGAAAACAGACAAAATACTTTTTAAGAAATAAAAGCCATCTAAATTAGAAGAAAGGTGTTGTCTGGCATGGTTTTATACATAGAAAACTTGAAAAGACTCCACCAAAACCTATTAAGACTAATAAGCATATTTAATAAAGTTGTAGGGTTAGAAACTAATGCACAAAAATTGGTTACATTCCTATATACTAAAAATATCCAGAAAAGAAATTAAGAAAGTGATTCCATTTGCAATAACATCAGAAAGAATAAGTACCTATGGGTATATTTAATCAAGAAGGTGAAAGATCTGTATGGTGAAAATGAAAAGATATTGATGGAAAAAAAGTAAAAAATGAAAAGTTATTCCATGTTCATGGATCATGAGAATTACTATCATTGCAATGTTCACATTGTCCAAAACAGATTCAGTGAGATCCCTATCAAAATTTCAGTGACATTTTTCACAAATAAAAAGTAAACCTAAAGATTTATGTTGAACCACAAAGTCCTTGAGTAGCCAAAGCAATATGAAGAAAGGAAAACGAATCTTGAGGCATCACATATCCTGAGTTTAACCTATACTGATGACCAGCTTCGTGCAGTGCAGAGCAGGCAGTGATTAATAATAATAAATTGGCACAAAAATAAACTTAGAGTCTATCCTAGACCTACCTGACTTATGGCAAGACCTGCCACTGGCTTACAGATAATGTTAATTTTTAAGCCAATGGCCCAAATTGAGACTAGCAAATGGTCTGTGACATTCTGGCTCCTTAAAGCAAGAGAGAATGCCACTGAGGACTTTGACTTGAACAAATTCCTTTTAGCTCAGTATTCCCAATTAGCAGACAATGAGGTTACTACTTAACCATGTTCTTTTCCTGTGTGCTTTTCCAAAAATGCATTGTTCGTCCATTCTTGAACCTTGAATGCATCAGTGGTTCACCCCCACCACTTCCTCAACCCACCGGAAACCTCCAATCAAGCTGTGCAGCTAACAAAGGCCAAGGGACACTGTGCCTCATGGTCTTAGTTCTTACTGGGCTTTGATCATCCCAGTGCCCCTTGTAACTGAAAAATATATCTTACCTGTGTCATATTCTGTTGTTTTACCCCTAAGCAGATTGGTGGTTGTAAATCAGGGTCCCAATAAAACTATACTGAAAATCTGTAAGTTAACAAAACACCACAGCATAAAAACACATATAGACCAATGAAACCGTAATGAGCCTAGAAGTAAATCTGTGTACTTATAATCAATTGATTTTCAACAAAGCCAAGAAGACACAATGGAGAAAAGGCAATGTCTTCAAAAAGTGATAACTGGAATAACTGGATATTCACATACAGAAGAATTAAAATGGACACTTATCCCACATTATAAAAAAAATCAACTCAAAATGAATAAAAGACAAATATTTAAGACCAAGAGCTAGGAAACTATCAGAAGAAAATAGGTAAAAATGTTTCTGACATTGGTCTGAGTATATTTCTTGGACATGACTAAAATCACAGGTAACAGAGCTGGGTATGGTGGCAAATGCCTGTAATCCCAGCACCGAGAAGCTGAGGCAGGATGATTGCTATGAATTTCAGGCCAATCTGGCCTACATACTGAAACCCTGTCTCAAAAACAAGCAGACAACAACAATGAAATCACAGGTAAGAGAAGGAAAATAAACAATTGAGATTACATCAAACTAAAAATCTCAACAAAAGAGTCAATCAATAGAATAAAAATCTATGAAATGAAAGAATATTTTCAAACCATATAACTGGTAAGGAGTTGGTTTGCAAAATATTTAAATAACTCAATTGCAAAAACAAAACCCCCAAAAATTTAAAATAGTTTAAGTACCTAATAGATATTTTTTTGCAAGGAAGACATTCAAAATACAAATGGCCAACAAATATATGAAAAGATACTGCACATCACTAATCACCCAAGAAATGCAAATTATAACACATGGAGACATCACTTCATTCTTGTTAGACTGGGTGTTTATGAAAAGTGGTAACAAATATCAAAGGGGATTGAGTAAAACTAAACCCAGTACACTATTTTTATTTATTTTTTTCCAGTACACTATTAATGGAAATGGAAACT